GATTGGGAAGAGGGGATGGTTGTATGCGACCAAGGGGAACACAGGCGCAGCTCCATTTGTGCATGTGGCAGGTGCATGTGGCCTTCACTCACACAAATAGAGCTTGTCATGAACATACACACGAACACTTGCCCATGGCTCATGCAAGTGAAAGTACGTGCATGCACTTGCCTACCACTTGTGCGGTTCAGTTCCAATTGGACTGGGCAGCATCCCAGGCATTGGGGGCCCACTACTCTAGGTGATGCAGAACTGAAATAAAATTTTCAACCACCTAAGAGCATGAAAGAAAATAAAAATGTAGAGGAAGAACATTCAGTTTTTCAAAATGACTGCAAATTCAAGAGAAAATTTCAACCTCAGAAAGGAGTGCTGAAACAACTTGCTTAGATCAATATCCAGCAATGAATAATAAATTTCCTTAGAAGCTCAGATGAGAAGAGAAAGATTTGAAATATTACACAGAGAACTTGTCAAGGGAATGGTAGCTAAGGAAAGATGTACTTGGTTAAGTTGAAGGAAGACACCAAGCAATGAGACTGGTAAAAAAGTGGATTGTTTACACAGCAACAGCCATGGATGCTTCCTTAGCAACCCTTAGGAATAGCTTGATTGAAGGAGGAAAACAGTTGTAGACAAATATCTTCAGGGTTGCAATGAGTCAACATAAACATAATGGCAGTCCACAAGGGCAATGTAAACAATTCATGGGAAATACATGCCAATTATTTATTATTGTTTATTATGAACTATCAAACCTATTATCAAATGTAATAGAAAGAAATATGTTTACTGTCCTATTAGTATGTTTACCATTTTTTATTTCTGTATACTCGTAGGTTTATATCTTTTTAATCCATTGCAAATAAAGTTCATTTTAAAACTCAAAAAAACCCCCAAAGAATTGATATAATAAGTAGGGAGACCAAGCAAAAGCATAAGAAAGGAAAGAGAACAAGCTGGAATTTTTCAACTGTCGGTAATGATGACAAGATGGGAAAACAACAATGGGGCTTTAAAGAGGGATTTCCCGTCATCAAATTATATGTATGTATGCAGAGGTGGGCTTTTGCAGGTTCAAACAGGTTTGCCCAAACCCCTTGTTCCAATTCTGCATGGATTGGACAATTGGCAAACCAGACCACCCGCTTGCACTGCTTGTTTTTTGGGCTGTTTTTGGCCACTTTCTGGCTGATTTTGGCTGGAAAATCAGCCTGAAAATGGCCCAAAAACTGGCCTGAAAACATCCCAAAAAACCCAGCCCATTTTCTGGGCTGTTTTCAGACCATTTTTCAGGCTGTTTTCAAGCTGATTTTGGCTGGAAAAATGACCTGAAAATGGCTCAAAAATGGCCTGAAAACAGCCTGAAAATGCTCCCAAAACATCTTGGAAACAGCCTGAAAAATGGCCTGAAAATGGCCGAAAAGCAGGCCGAAAAATGGGCAGGGGCGGGGCTAGCCAGTGGTAGGATTAGCCCCAACTGGCTGAATCCTTCCTGTTCCTTTGAGGCAAGTGGCTGGGATGTGGGGCTGGGTGTGATGAGTGACATCACCCAACCAGTCACATGACCAACCAGCCATGCCTTCCCACACCCATACCTGGACTGCCAGTTGCAGCCTCTTATCAAACCTTGCCTAATGACATACTTTCAATTTGATGGACAAACATATCAACAAGTCAAAAGAACATTTATGGGATCACTGCTTTCTGTATGCATAGCAGAGATTGTAATGCAACTCCTGGAATCAATAGCACACATTGAACCCAAAATAAGGATCTAGTATGCAGATGATGCCTTGACCATAATAAAAAGGGACCAACTAGAGATCACACACAAAACCATCCATAACATCTCCAAAGGAATCAAATTCACCAGGGAAGAAGAAAACAATAAATATGTTTCCTGGATATGTCCTCATTAGCGGAGATTGTAATGGCGAACTAGAAACACAAGTCTACTGAAAGGCCACCTACACCAACCAAGTGCTCCACTACCTAGAATAATAATCCAACCTCTCAAAGAGAAGCTGTGTAAGTAGCTAATGATATTGTTCCTCATCCTTCTTTTCCTTCCTATGTGTTGGAATTCAGTTCTTAACATCCCAGACTGAGGATCACGGGCAGTGTTTTTCAACATCTAGAAAGTGGAAAAAGATGGAGAAAAACACCTTATTAGCAATAGCAGACTTATATACCACTTCCTAGTCCTTTACATCCTTCTCTAAGTAGTTCACAGAGTCAGCATATTACTTCCAACAATCTGGGTCCACATTTTACCAATCCTCACTGAAGAGCCTGTGAGAATTGAACTGCTGGCAGTAGGCAGAACTAGCCTGCAACCCTGCATTCTAACCACTGCAACACCATGGCTCTTGGTAAAATCGGCTTAAAGTCACTTAATCACTCCCCCCTAGTCATTCCCAGTTCGTGCAATGTGTAGACTACATCTGGACCATTCCTGCTTCTACAAGACTCTTTAGATTGTTAAGGGACTAAGATGTTCAGAATTGACTTTGGGGAAAGAATGAAAAAAATCAGACACAGACTTAAATCCTAGGGCTGGAAGAACTTTGGAGGTCTTCTAGTCCAACCGCCTGCCCAAGGCAAGAGACCTTATACATCCCAGACAGATCGTCATTCAATCTGAAAACTTCCAACAATGGAGCACCCACAACGCTGGGAGGCAAATGTTCCATTGATTAATTGTTCTCACTGTCAGGAAATTTCTCCTTAGTTCCAGGTTGCATCTCTCTTTGAGAAGCTTCCAACCTCTGCTTCCTGCCCTGCCCTCAGGTGCTGTGGAGAATAAGTCAATAAATTGATAAAGTTTAGATGTAGCATGCTTCTTTTTTATTCCTTGTCATCACCTTTTCTTATAAATAAAGAACAATAGAGGAGCAACTATTATCTCTGTCTGCCAATGAGCCAGTTTGTCCATGGCTTATACATGCCCATCGTTTGGGCAACTGAAGGGGCTGAAGGTTTGCACTGTAACAACATTGAAAACCATCCAATCACTTTCTTACTATTTTCACACTGCAAGTGGTGGTTCACAATTGAGGGAGTAGCTTCTGACTTATCGGTGTGCATCGTATCAATATGTAATTAGTTTAGGTAGCCAAAGCTTGAAAAGACATTTTAGTGCATTGCATTATGGTTTTTTAGTTGTGTTTTAATTGCTTCAACTTTTTATATTTTCATGAGCATGATTTCTTCAAAGGAAATTGGAATAAACTGCCAAAAATAAAACAAACCAACCTTCCAATTAAAACCTTGTGGGCTTCACTGAAAACATTGCAGCTTGGAAATGGAGAAGTAGCTGAAATTAATATGTTGGTTCACTAGAATCCTATATTATGGAATAGAGAAATCATGTACAGAATGTATTAGCAAATATAACTGAATTTCTGCAATAGACCCTCTTAAATTAGGATGGCATACACAGTGTTTTTCCAAGCATTTTGCCTTTTTGGTGGCCCGCTGGACACTTTTGCCTCAAAGAGTATTGGGTGAAGATGATGCAGATGTGAAATTTAATTTCCTCACCATTTTCAATTAAAATAAATTAAGGTGATTCTTCTTCTGCAGTCAATTTAATGATAACCACCCCTACACACAGTAGTAGTTGACCGACTTGCAATTTTTAAAGTTTTAAATTCCCCTAGGAATCATAGCCAAGATTTTTGTAGTCTGCATGCAATTCGAAAGCCCCTGAATGGGAAGCAAAGCAGCATTTTTCTCAAAAGGTGTAACAGGTTTGTTGTTAAAATCAATAAAACTTTTACTTAAAAAAAAAAGATGTAACAGAAAATAATTACTCGGTTCAGAATCGGTTGTATTGGAAAGTACACATTTTAGAAAGGTAATGAAATACTCTTATTATTTGCAATTTGCAGTCATCTAGTTTATTCAGAGAAATCAGCAGGCGTAGTTTAAGCTCTAGCAGCCTCTTTAGGGTAGGGACAAGTGGCATGCAGAAAATAATAACAATCTTAATATTTGCATTGT